GGAGCATCATTCTGATAGACTAAGGGTAGGAAAGCACTGGGTATTTGGCTTCTAAAGGAGGCAGCCTTGAAAAAACTCAGCTCTGGAGCCCTGGGTTAAAATCAAAACTAGTGTTTTCTTTGGAGTTTGAGTTTCCTCTTTTGTAAATGTCTTCTATCCGATGTCTTCTCTATCATACAGAGCGGCCACGACTCTTTGTAAAAAATCATATACAAACATCTGTTGACAAAGGTATTTTAAAATATATACATTGCCCTACAGACTTGAGTTAGAGATAACAAAGACAGAGCCTAGCTCAACATTGAGAACACAGGGGCTCAGTAAACAGTAGCTAAATAGACATAATGTGACTTTCTTCTCAACTGACCTGGACACAGCTACATAAACTGAAGATGGAAAATGCCGCTATCATACAGCTCTTTTAAACGTCTGAACTGCTTTATATGCTGCCTAGAAACTCTCCTGAACTATTATACTTAGGGCTTAATTGCTAACAGAAACAGTCCACTTTCACCAAATCAGACACCTTGTAGCTAAATCCCTCACTGAAGTCAGTCCTCTGGCCCTACCATCAACCATTCATTCCACAGGTATTTACTGAGTGCATACTAGGTGTTAAAATAACACATGGAAGATACAAAGATAAACCATTCTCATCCTAAAGGAGGGTATAATTTAGCAGGCACAGAGGAATGCAGTTCCACTCAGCAAGCATGCTATGCACAAACGCCAATTTGCCAGAGCTATGCTAGGAATACCAAGATTTGCATGGGCTCAGCCATGAATCATGAGCACACAATCACACCAGGGAGATCAGGCACACATCCCAATAGCGGTAACACAGAGCCAAGTGCCAGAAGTGTGAGAACACCAGAGTGAACTTTACAGACAGGCCTGCGCTCCATCCTGGCTCTGCTGCTTTACTAGCTGTGTCATCTGGGCATACTCCTTAAGTTCTGAGGGCCTCCATTTGCTCATCTGTAAAACTGGATCACACCATCTCCTTCACAGGACTACTCCTGGGAGGATTTCAGTCAACTAGGTACCACAGCATTTAGGGGCTAGCACACAGCAGACATTCAATAAATGGTAGCTGCTATCATTGACAGACATTCATTTAAATATTTGATGAGCTCTAAGGCAGATCTAGAATCACAGGCAAGGAATAAGTCTAACTGTTCACTTCTGATATTGGCAGGACTCCTCCTTTCCCAGGGACAGGGATTTGTGGGAGCGGAGGAGGGAGAAACAGGCAAATCTGGCCTTGTACTCTGACACAGGTAGGCAGTTGGAAAAGTGGGTCTGAGCAGGAAGAAAAGTCAGGAAAGAAAATGAAAAACAGAACAAAGGAGGGAAATTTTAGGGACCACAGCTCCAACAGTATTCCCACGAGCTTCCAGTAGAGGTAAACGGGGGCAGAGCACGAGATCACCAGAAAAGCAGGTTGGGGCCAGACCCTGGAGGACACAGAAAACCAAGTTAAGAAATATACACTCATTCTGGATGCAGATCTGGGGGCAGCAAAGATGCAATCAGGAAGATGGTTCTGCAGCAGATGGACTGCAAGGACAGGGAGATCAGAAGTGGGCAGCCAGTTAGAGACCGTTTAGATAGGAGGCAACAGTACCTGAAGGAGCCTGGGCAAAAAGTTAATAGAAGAAGTAGGCACCTGTGTGGGAAACCGTCAGGCCCTGGTAAATGAACAGACAGGAAAGATGAGAGGAAATCCAAAGCCTGGACCAGAAGAGTGACACCACTGTACAAGGACTGACAGACAGCAAAGAAGAGGCTTGTGCTGTCACCTGGTTAAAGTGGGAGAAGGCACTGGTCTCACCATGCATTCACAGCTAGTAAAAATTTTACTGTATAATCAGCACCAAACAAATTTATTGTACTAACAATCCATGCCTCTTATAAACACTGTTAGTCCTTACTCTTACCTTCTTAAATAAACCAGAGTCAAAGCAGTCCTTCAATTCTCCTTAGGCCTCAACCTTAACTAGGCCAAAAAGCACATACACTACTAATCTCCCCGGAAGGGATTATCTGAGGAGAGAATCAAGTTTTCTGCCCATTTTGGTAGAGTATTAAGGAAGAAAGGGAATGGTCAGAGTTATTAAATTACCACTCATTTCCCGATGTCTATTCAGTTAGAAGTCTGGTTTCTGGTAACTTTTAGAAGTAAGGCTTGAAAGGAGACCTGCCTGTTTCATTGCCTACCCCGGGCCCAGAACGTGGGGGGCTCCCAGCCTGACCACAACACCATCACCTCTGAGCTCCTGCCACACTGGCTCCATAATTCCCTTGGATGTTAATCATGCACCACTTTGTGTCCGTCTTGGAAGAAATTAAGTCCCATGTTGCAAGTTTTAGTCTCAATCCCCCAAGATTATTTTCTCAAACTACTGAAGTCTTAACTATGTCTGGCATTTTGTATTCCAATAAGCACTTTTTCACTCACTTTGCTTTACCTCTCAATACCACCGACAGGCATTCATTTTATATGAGTGGTTTCAAAACTCTGGAATCCTGGAGACACTGATTTACATATAAGAAAGAGTCCCTGCAGGAAAATTTGCAAGCTTGCTCTTCAGAACTAAAATGTTTATGAAAGCCGTCTTTGTGCAACAGGAACTATATTCATAGTTCTTAGAATTTAGTAGCTAGCTACTGCTAATTTCACACATGGACATACAAGCCCTGACCACAGATAGCATAGTTCCCCATTTTTCTATTCAGGTAGAAAGTGTTACTTGCCTGTTGAGTTACAATTTGCCATCTTCTAACTAACACCTTTTAGGTATTAAATAGTAATCTTTTGATTGCTTTTCCTCGATTCTAATTATTTAGCAACTAATCGTGACCAAACTACCTTATACATTAAAGTAAGTCTCAAACGTGATATTTATAATAAGAATTATCTGAGGAGGCTTGTTTAAAACAAATTTAAAGGCAGAACCTAGCCCCTTCCAGAGGGTTGAATGAACAAGATCTCAGGTAAAGCCCAAGCATGTGTGTTTAACAAGCACTCCAGGGGACTCTATGCAGGTGGTCCATAGTCTACAGTTTTTTGAAAGGCACTTCTTTAAAGCCTTCATCCTGTAGGTAGTCATCTAAATTTATCAGTTCCGTGTAGTAGGGCTGTACTCCCTGGTCTTCCATAGTACACTGTGAAAACAAGGTAGGTTTTGCTGCTGCTATTTACTGAGGAGAAAGGAAGACAAAGGAAGAAACAATATTTAGAGGAGAAAAGAAAAGCACGTGTTTTAACGAGCTCCCTCCCTCTCCATTATTTAGGTTGCAACTAAAGCAGGAAATCTTAACCTTTTTTAAGGTGTGGACTTCAGGATTATAACACTAATTCTATAGGCACTCAACTCTCCACTAAATAAATGCCTTTCTCCACTCAAACCCAATGTTCCCTAAAGAATTTCAAGACCTACCATTTAGTTCCAAATGTGGGCAACAATTATCTAGAAATTCACAAACATTTCAAAGCAGTAGCCTTACCTTGTTGTGTCTTCTTCCATATCTTAGTACTCATTAAAAACCAAAAATATATCAAATGATACAAAGGAGAGTGGTTAAGTTTACTTAAAAGAGATGTTCATTTTTAAAAATTTAATTATAACTTGGTGGTAGGGTTTTCATGCATGGAATCGCACCTCACTAAATGTCTGAAATTAACTATGATCATACAGAATTGAGAACATCAGATCCTACCAGTAAAGTGGGTGCAAAGCTTATAAAAAAGTGATTTTACTTTTTACTCCCACTGGTGTTAAAACTAGGACCATGTGTAGATTTTATAAATGTGTAGAATTTATATAAAGATCAAATGCCTATACAGCTTTTTAAGTGCAAATTTATGACACAGGCGGAGAAAAGATCAGACAGGAAAGACTATTAACAGGACTTTGTCTCATTTTACTTGCAAACTAAAGGTCTTGAGTAACACAGTGTATTTTATACCAAGCTAAAAGCCTTAATCTCCTTTAATTATTTTCCATTAGTTTACTATTTGTCTTTGAAGCCCATCTCCATTTCTTATACCCATTCTTCAAAAAGGTAATAAATAAGATTATTTTAAAAGAAAAGGTAGTAAATAAAAATACAAATTGTTATAACCATCCTAAACACACACACATCTAAATACATTGTTACATTTAACTGAGGCCTCAGGCTTACTTCTAAGAAGGCAATGTTCAAGTATAAGATCCATTTCTTAAACATTATATTGATACAGACAAGGAGGACAAAAAAATCAGCAAAAGTTAAAGCTATATCAAGGTGATGTGATTCTAAGGCTTTCTAACCTGGTCATCCACGTTGCTTATCTCCCCCTAAATGTGCACCCAACCTCCCAGCATCTTGCCTGTATGGCAGGCCATGACCCATCCACCCCTCAGTGAATGGTCCTAAGGGAGGAGTGCCACCACACTCACCACCACCCAAAGGAAAGATTTCTTTCTCTTCTTTCCCTCTACCCAGTTGTTAACTCTGGGCTAGAAAAGAGATACCTGAAGGGAAATGAACTCACTCTAGGAGCTTGCTGGTTGCTCTCCCCTGAGCCTGGGGTTTCTGGGTTTCCCTCCCGGAGAATTAAAGAGGAAGACGATAGGGACGGACAAAGATAAAGCATTTCCTGACCCACTTTTCTCAGTACTTCTCTAAACGACTCACTTTCAGCAGTTTACACTGCTGCTAAAAATTTTTGTTATTTGGATTTACTGGGAAGGAAAGAAAAAGGACACTTTAAAAAACCTATTTTAAAAGATGAAAATAGGCCGTCTGCCCTTCCAAGCTTCCCACTTCTGAAATGTGTGTCTCATCCACGTCGATTAACACGTGAGCTGGCCCCCACGTTTCTTTGTCGTTTTCTAAGGATGTGCTCCGTTTGGAGGTTGGCTCACAATCACCCCGGCTTTAAGACCACGGCCGGATCGATGAGCTCGTTCGCAGTTCAGGCGGCAAAAGAGACGTTAAGGTCCCCCACCTACCTTCAGGGTTGGACCATGGCCGCCTAGCTTTCTTCGTTTCACAAACACAACGGGTATGTCGGTTTTCAAGGTCAGTTCGCAGAGCGCTCCCTCGAGGCCCCGCCCGTTCTCTGGGGCGCAAAAGCAGAGCGGATCCGGTCAGTCTTTCCGCCCGGGGCCGTGGCGGGAAGTGCGCGGCGGGGGCGGGGCTTCCGCGTCCCAAACTGCACTCGCCCGGGCGACAGCCCAGGCCCCAGCCCCGGCCCTGACCTTGACTAAGGCCGGCCACCAGCTCGGTCCCGGACAGGCGCACCTACACGCGGGCTGGAAGGCCAACCACCTCCCAACTTAATCTTCCTTTGAACTCTGCATCGTATACACAGAATGCCAAAAAACCAACTTCCAAAGTTTCTCTGAAATTTGAAACCTCGAGGCAAAATTAAGAACACTGCCCACTTGGGGTGCTTTTATTAGAGAACCTTGAAATAATACAGCAACACCCTAAATGACATGCTTGGTGCAACTGGTCCAATTTTACAAACGGGCGAACTCAGGTAGAGAATGAGTCAGTGAAAATTAAAAATAGACTCTAGTTATACTGACATCAGGTCCATTCATGAGACAAAAACCACACCAGCCCCCAAAGTATAGCTGTTTGACAATAACAATAGCAGCTAGCGATTCTGTAGTGCTTTGCATATGTTAATACTTAATCTTCAATAACTACCCTGTTGAAGTAGGTCCAATCAGGTCCATTTCACAAATAGGGAAACTGAGGCACAGAAAAGCTTCCCTACCCAAATTCAAGCAGCTAGTTAGTCAACAGCAGAGCCAGGATTCAAACCAGGCAGTGCAGTGTAGCCTTTAACCCCTACCCTGTACTGCCTGATACAGTGAGATAAGCACTGGTTCCTCTTAGCTGTCTCCTTTAACAGCCTAGGGAAAGTCACAGGAGTCTAAGCCTCGGTCTCCCCACTTGAACACACGGAGACACACGTGATTTGCCAATCTCTCACAATTTCTGCGGATTCAGTGGTGTGAAAATTCCTCGAAAGGCATCCTTTAATCGTTATACTCGCTTAATGCTGACAAGGCTCTGTCAATCTATTCATCATATTATCACCTACATTTCAAGACTCGTGCATTAAGAAATGATACAAAAACTATTTTCTCCTATATTCTGCAAACCGTCTCTATAAAGAAGAGCTAGAGACAGGAAGCCACCAGCCGACAGGGGGCCGGTCTCACCTACCAACACGCCAAGCTTTCAACGACCCGGGCGAAAACAATGAACACCGCCAAGACGCTCACCCGACTTAAGAGAAGCCTCGGCCCTACTCAGACACGCATTCACACGTCTCCCCTTCCGCTGCATCCATCCACAAGGCACCCGGCAGGAGGATGCTCTCGTCCCAGAGTGCTCACAGCCCAGGGGCTTGGGGCTTCCTCCGTTTTCAGTAAACCCGAAGCTTACACGAACACGAGTCCTTGGGCACCAGGCGCTCCTTCAGACGTCCCAGCACCTGCCGCTCCGGTGCAATGCGGGACTGAAGCAAACTGAGGAGAAAAGGCTGCGGGATCCCAGTAGCTCCGAGAAGCCGCGCCCTCCTCTGAATGGGCGGGCAAACCGCCAGAGTCAGAATGACAAAGCAAAAACCCACTCTTCGTGCAGCACTGGCAACTAGGCTGATGGGCTTAGCAAAGTGGGATCTCCTAATTGGGTAACAGCACATCCTCTTCCTGCTCACAGCGCCCCCAACCCAAGAAAGGAGCAAAAGCAATTTAAGAAATGTTTGGAACCGGAACCAAAAGCGTGTGCCTTAATTGAACAAAACTGGACTATGCCCTCGGGCAGTGACTCCCGAACGTTGCTACTGATTGTAATCATGCGAGGATCTTCAAAAACACTGACGCCTGGCTCCCACCCGCAGACATTCTGATGTAATTGGTATTGTGTGCGACCTGGCCATCTGAGGTTTTTAAAACTCCCTGGATGATTCTAGTGAACAGCAGTTTGGGACCTATTGCCGTAAAGTAATGCGTTAGTCAGTCTGGCGATTCCCTAAAGGAGGCGATTAGGCTTTAAAAAAAAAAAAACTTCTAGTCCATCCTAATTCTGAAAAGAAGTGACAAATTTTCACAAACACATAACTTCGCTTTATAGTACGTCCTCCTTATCCCACTCAGATTTTGGTTCGTCATGTTGTTTAAGGAAAACTGCGTATATTTAACTCCAGCCACGCCAGGCACCTGCAGCCAGCTACCCAAGTGAGCCACACTCTCTCATACTTCCCTGCTCTTACTCATATTCTTACTCAGCACCTTGTGCTAGTAGGTAGCTATGAATATTTGATGAAGAAATAAATAAATGAATGTCTTTCCCACTTCTTTGTCTGGATACTGCCAGACTGAAACACGCTTAGGTTGCTGGTTTCTGAAGGCTCCGTGAAGCCACAATTTGCTCCTTTTGAGTCCCCTCCCAGGTGCAAGGCAGAGGCTTGTTGCAGCCTCTCAGTTTCAGAATGCGTACACAGACACAGACACACACACACACACACACACTACTACACATTGTGGGGGAGGGAAAAAACCCTTTAGCCTCCTAGGTTCTTCTAGCTGGTCTAAGAATTAAATTGGCATGAGACACATTAACAGGAGAAAATCAAATTTAATTACATACGTAGCAGAGCAAGATGAGAATATGAGGTCCAAGGACAAGTTAGGCGACTTAAGCTTGTACACCTTCCCAGAGAAGAAGAGGGTAAGTGTTTGGGACTTCAAGGGGAAGGGAGATGAAGATGAGCAGATGTTTGCTGGGTCATGCAGACACAGTGGGACCCAGAGAGGACTCTGATCAAACAGGCCTTGCTGAGTGCCCCTAGTCTACCACACCCTAGTTCATGGTATACTTTAGTTTTCTGTGGTGATAACTGTTCTTCCTGAATAGGCCCTTTAGGCGGTGAAGGGCAGAAGGTAGAAAGTTCTTCCTGAGGTTTTGTTTCTTAAAAATAATCAGCCCCAAATCATCCTCAAACCAAAGAGACACATTTGGGGGTGGAAAGTTTTGTTCCCCTACAAGATACTAAACTGACACTCCGTTTGGTGGTTATTTATGTGAGTGCCTAACCTGATTCTGGGGTCCTTAGAAGAGAAGATGGGTCTAGCATATAGGTATTCAGGAAACAAGATGACTTAGGAAGCAAAGAATGAAAAATGTGAAGGAAAGACAGCTGGGATTAAGGGAGAGAACTTACCATTTACTCCCAGCTGCTGTGCCAAGCTTTGTACTAACCAGTTTACATGCCTTCTTTCATTTAATCTACACAAAACAACCCATGAGCTGGCGTCATAACTCCACATTCTTAAACATCTATAGAAGCTACAGTTTATTGCAAAAGCATGTCTTAGGATACAGAGGAACTTTAAAATCATTTAACTTAATGTGCTAAAAGCAAGTGATAAGGGTTGACTTCTAAGAGCCTTCTGGGACAGACAGGTCCGAGTTACCATAGTTACCATAGTTAACATTTCCAGAAAAGGCTAGATAAGGCATTTTAACTTCAAACTGTTCTTATGTGAGCAGATTATAGCACAAATCCCAAGAGCAGCTCCATGTAGTTATTTTTTAAGTTAAAAAAAAAATCACCATTAAAAAAAGCTTCACTTTCCTTTCAAACCATTCTTGCTACAGTTCAGGGCCCAGATGCCTTACCCTTGTCAGGAAATAGAACGCCTTAGTTCTATTTAGTTGCTGGTCAATGGAAGAAGAGCCGCTCGCTGGCACTCACACCCCCCTCCCCCATTTCTCATCATGCAGCATTTGTTCTATTGGTACATCTTGCATCTCTTGACTGGGTTCATGTTATTCCTCCTGCCTAAAATTATCTTCCCTCCCTAAGGGCCTACTCCCTCAAAGCTCATTTGAAATGTCATCTCCTGTGGGAGGGCTTGCCTGATTTCTACCCTGTGTTTATCGCTCCTTCCCTCTTCTGTGTCCCCAAACACCTAAAAATAATTACAAATCATCTAAATCCAAGAGAGTTTTGAGAAGGCAAAACCTTGCTTGATTTATCATGCCCTCCCAGAACCTGTTATATATTGTAAGTATGCAGAAAATGCTGGAAAAGACCCTCTGTTCCTGAGCTGTCATCTAAGGACACTATTAACAGGTCTATGAAGGTGTTCAATCAAGGGTCCTCTTGCACTAAACTACCATTCCTCAATAAGTCTTTCTCACACATACACACTGAGCTAGAGCCACCTTTCTGACACCCAGATCTCTGCACAAATCTCCAGTAGTTCTCTAGGAACCTCTACATAAAGTCCAAACTCCTCAATTGTACTGACTTGGCAATGGCCACCCTTGTTAAACCTAGATGTCCACACATTCTGTACCCTACTTAACCAGAACACATTGCTGGAGAAAACACAGAAATTAAAAGTAATTTCACTTTAGGGCTTCCCCAGTGGTGCAGTGGTGAAGAATCTGCCTGCCAATGCAGGGGACATAGGTTTGAGCCCTGGTCCAGGAAGATCCCACATGCTGCAGAACGACTTAAGCCCATGCGTCACAACTACTGAGCCTGTGCTCTAGAGCCTACAAGCCACAAATACTGAAGCCTGTGCCCCTAGAGCCTGTGCTCCTCAGCAAGAGAAGCCACCACAAGGAGAAGTCTGCACACCGCAAAGAGTAGCCCCCACTCGCCAAAAGTAGAGAAAGCCCACGCACAGCAACGAAGACCAAACATAGCCAAAAATAAAAATAAATTAAATAAATTTAAAAAAAAAAGAAACAGCCAATGCAAGAGGGACACTGACTTTCCTTTCTGTCTCACTGAAAATAGGAAATAAGTCACTCATGTGAAATGTGCACTCCTTGCATCTACAGGTGGAAAGACACCCTTAACGCAAAAGATAGGGAATTTAGGGCCAGGAAGCCTATATAAACAAACTCATTACTTCTTTAATATACTACCCCAAGCCCAAACTCTGCTGATATTCATCACTAGTTGGGCACCCAAAACCTAAGTTTCTTTGTCCTGTCAATTCCTCACAAACGTATTGTTTCTTTGTCTAAAAAAGTATAAAAGCTGCCTGCTTTGGCCACTTCTTGGGTACCATTTCT